TAATAGTTTTGTAGAAGTTCCATTGAATCAAGAGAAAAATGAAATACTAAAACTCCCCACAGGTGTCGGTTTTATTATTTTTTCAACAAACACTTCTGGTAGAGGGGAACCCCTGATCCACAGCTACAAATTACTAATCATGTGTATTATTCAGCGTTTTAGTCCATTTCTGAAACTTTTCCTTTAAATCAAAAGGACCGCTCTTTAGTAATTGCAGGCTGCTTGGCCTCCTGATGGGAGACTCATATAACCGTAATCCCCCTGACGACGACTACTGGCACCCATCCCATTCCTCAGCAAAACACTAAGACTGAATTAAGAGGATGAAGAGGATAATTATTAGATTCGGGAACAGTTTCCCAGCAAAATCTGTTTTTTATTCACTACCATGAAAAACTGTTTATGGTTTTGAAAATACTCTGTTATGCTAATTGGTAAGGTGCTGTTCGAAGTGACTTTATTTTAAAATATCAGCTGTTCAAAAAAAAAAAAAAGAATGAATGAATGGGCCAAACGTAGTCCAGGCATTGGTGATTTCCTTTTTTTAATCCCCTGTGCTTGTTATAATAAAAAATTAAAACCAGAAGTTCAGATAAATAGGGAATCTCTGTCAGGTTCTATAATGTCCTATCTATTTTGAAGTATTAGCAACATATAAAATAGATTTCTGTGGCTTAGGCAATTTCCATTAAAATATATCTTTTCTATTTTTTAAATCATACATTGAGACATAAATAATAGAGAAAATAAAAATGAGCTAAGGTTCTCATAAAAACATAAAATAACAATAAAGCAGTTGATTTCTATAAACTGAGATAACATTTTCAAGATGGAGTATTAAAAAACTAATTTCTGCTAAGATTTTTATGATCGCTTCAATATTGTGCCTTTACAAAGCATAAAAATAAAATCTGAATAGATGCCGTACTTTTCTGTAATGGGTAAATAGATAGTTGTAGAAAAACTATCTCAATAGTTAGGCAGCCTAGTGGCATAAACCTTTATTTTGTATGCCAAAGATTCTTTTATCTGGGCTGTTCATAGTAATTAATAAGCTCATTAAATCTAGGTATCTTGAATGCATTACAAGATCTAATTTTCTATAACTGTGTAGACATTTTTCTTTTGAGTAATTATGTTCATATCCAAGCATTCATTAGCACAAAACAATAGGGCAGTCCTCATTAACAATATTTGTTATTGAATCTTTAAACATGCTTCTTCTTAATGGGTTTTGAATTAAAAAGGCCTTTCAAATCCAAAAACCAGAAGCTCAGGGTTATAGTTGTTATTCCAACTTTATATCTTTGGATATTGGTATCATTTAAAAATACCTGAGCAGAATTTATTTGTATAATGTTTCTGGTATTTTACCTACTCATCTAATCAGATTCATAGCCATTATCATTGTTTCAACTGTAATCTGAAAACCATATATTCTGAAAATATGAACATAATGAAATTTACCAGCAAATAGAAGAAGTTCAGGTCAAGAGGCAAAGACTACTTTTCAAAGCTACTCAGACTATAGTGGTGCAATGATTTAGCTCACTTACACTACTGGTATATAATGGACAGCAATAGATATTTAGATGCATAGCCTTATTCTTTGTTCCTAAGTCTCATTAATATCAATACATCTTTTTCCAAGCGTGTTTATGATTACAACTTTAACATATTAAATACAATAAACTTGATATTGGCATAAACAAATACCATATTTGTAAGCTTTATAAGCTTAGTGGTTGTTTAGTTTTTCTTTCTGCATTTTATGTGCATGGTTTTAGATGTTCGCTATGCAATAAAAACAGTTTCACAATGATTAATATTCTAAAAATAAATGAATATCTTTCTATTATAGTTTAAAGTTGCCAACTAAGAACTTTTTCTTCAATCCATTGAATTTGAAATAGATATAAGAGAACTGAGTTCTGTTAATTAATGTGGATTGTATTGCATTATTCCATAGTGAAGTCCAGTAAAATTATATTGCTTGCAGAATTCTTCTCTTTGTTTTAAGCTTTATTTTATTCCTCTGCTGTTGTGTAATAGTTTAAAAATAAATTGGGTAGCATGAAAGCTTCTCATATAGTATTTTCATATAATTCTCATTTGAAATTCAAGTGTAACTGACAATTCAGGCATATGCAGACATTTCATATACAATTTTATACTTTAGATTTACTTTTTAAATTGATCATATGTATTTTAGTGTAATATAGGGTAGGGCAGTATAAGCATATTGCTTAATTTGAATCAACTCATTGAGATCAAATAAATGTTTGATTGTGGAATCTAACAAAATATATAATAAAAATAATATTAATCAAAAGTATATACATTTATATTACTTCAGATAATTATTTTAAAGCAGTAATCTTTTTTACCGTTTTGAAGGCTTTAGATCAGCAACAACTTATTCAAACAGAAAAGGTTATTTAGATGTTTTATTTTCTTTCTTGTATTTGTCAAATGCAAGATAAATTTGTCATCTATCCTCTAAGCAATTCTTATTTATGCTCAAAATATTAAAAACAGACTGTACTCTGGCTTGATTCTCTCCCTTTCTAATATAAAACAACTTTAAAAATGTAACCAAGTGAATGCTTTTTTCTCTAGTGTGATCAACACATGCTGTGACAGAGCCTTCCTATTATTATGCACCTAGTTACTCATTCCAAGTCACAGTCAAGGGCCTTTTAACATCCCCCCTTTTCCTTTTTTTATTTTTGGTGAACAAAGACTATGGCTGAGTTCACACATCAAGCTAAGTCAAAACTAAGCAAACTACACTATGTTTACTGCAATGTGTGAATCAAGAATTGCAGATTGTAAACCACAATAGACTCTTTCACAAATCTGCATGTGAGAGTCTTGCAACATTGGTTCCTGTCTATCTTGTAGTCTCATCTGAATTCAAACTGTCTTCACTTCTACCTCCCATTTTTTTTATTCAGTCATTCTACAAGAGAATGTTTCTTCCAAACCTGCTATGGGATTGCCCCCTTTCACCACTTGTGCCAATAATCAATGTGAATCAAAGGCCTTAATGATCCATTGGAAAATACATTATCCAAGACATACCTCAAAAGATGGTTGTATATAAACAATCTTGAACTAGTGGCAGTTTTCAGAGCAATGAAGGTTTCTGGTTTCTCTTCTGATGTGATTTTACCCAGATTACAACATCTCTACACTTCTTGATCTAACTATGGAAGTGGTGCAAGACTCACAATATCTTTGTTCACAATATATTTGTTGATCAATTACTACCAGCCAAAGGTGGTGGTTGGGTTGCTTCACATGGAAATTTCATTTGACCTCTCCACACAAACGGGAATTTCATCAACAAATATTTTAATAACAGTCCAGAATATGCAATACCTGTTGTTGAGAATGATAAAGGTAATAATGAGGTGAAATGCTCATCCCAGGGTTAATTTAGCATGTGCTGCTGTAAATTATGTATGCGAATGATTTCTAGTTCTATGTCTTTAACTTTGTGAAATATGTCACAATACATATTGAATGCATACATGTATGTGTCATCATGCTATTCACATTGGAATAAGCAACATTATGTAAAGGAAAAAAAGGAAAAAAATAAATTAGAGATAGAAAATAAGAAAAAAGGAGCAAATAAGAAAAAAATGATGTATAATTTAAATCTGATATTATGTAGCAATTCATTATATATTCCAGTATTTTTCTGTTCTTATCAACATCCACTCTCTTACCAGATCTATACACCAATTCATATATTGCTTCTTAATTTCTAGCCTCCCTTTCTGAGGATCTCATCTTATACTGTATTAGAATTATTATTAAAATTGTTTATTGTTATAATCAGACACATTAAAGCTTAACTGATTCTGATTTGTAAAACTGAAGATAGATTTAATATGTTTCTGTCATTGTTGAGATGACATAAACCTAGCACTCTTCCTATTGTAACTTACATAATAAAGTTACAAAGAGCCTTTGTCCAGTGGGAATAATTTATTTATGTTTTTAATTTCTTTCAATTACTTATTTCCATTTCAAGTTAAATGTTGCTTTTGAAAGTCTCTGACTCATCATGTGGTATGGACAAATTGTTATTAATAAACACAAACACAGGTACCAAGTAAAAGTAAGAATTTTGTTCCTTTAAATTCTAACTTGTATACAGTATCACAAAAGTGAAAGTATTCTTGATATTGCTAACTATCTACTTCTGGTGGGAAGTAAATCATATTACCAGTAATAAAATAAATGTAAAGACAATGCTCTTCGGTTAGAATATTGGTTTGGTAACTGAAGGAAACTTATCTTCATTCAATCCAATTATATTCAGTTTTATTCTTCTGAATACAAACTGAATATTCATTATCACTGCAAACTGAAATTGAAACAATTTGCTTTTTGTTTTGGGAATAAAATGAATCCTGTGATTTAATCCTGTACATATGTATTCAAAATTAGGCCATATTGACTTCATTGGGAATTACATATGAGGGTCCAGGAATACGCTGAAATCACTAGAGGATAATTCCCATGTTAGAGAATAATCCCCAGGTACACAGTAAGGTTAATGTCTAAATATACTGTACATCTTTTGAATTGTATTGTAAAGGACTTATCTTGGCCTTATGGAATTAGTTTCATATGAAGTTTTGCTCAACTCAAGAGCATCCTTTCCTTTTTTTACCTATTTGGATCTCAGGCTTTGAAAGAACTTGAGAGAAAAATAAAGCTGAGTGGAAAAATAGCAGAATTTTGTAGAGAGATATATGACATATGCTTAATGGTTTGAGAGACAGTTAAGGGGTGGGGAGAACCATTCAGATGTTTTGCTCATTAGCAGGGAGAATCAGAAATATATTTGAAATGAGTAATATTTACATAAAAATTCTTATAGTGCTCTCCTTTTGTCCCCTCTGTCCTCTTCCCTCTCTCTCTCTCTCTGTCTGTCTCTCTCTCTTTTCTCCCCTCCCCCCACTGAAAATCTCCTGCCACAGCGATTGCATTTGCCTCCAGACTTGTCAGACACAGTGAGCCGCACGAGCAAACAGGATCTGGCAGTCTCCGCCAAATTGCTGAGCACAGAATGTAGTGCGATGGCCATGGGCAAGAAGCACCTGGACTTCTAGTGATTTCAACTTAGCAGCTTCACTTCAATTTATATGACACTCTAATTATGACTGTTAATGACTTTCGTAAATATTTTTCTTCATCGTTGTGACCCAGCAGTTCTTTAAAAAAATGTTACTTGCAAGCTTTGTATCTATATTCTCATTCTGTTATTTTTATGTTCACAGGTGTGGTGTCTTGACAGTAAACAAATGCATTCTGTATTGTGAGAACATTTAAAAAATAAACTGCCCTTTGGAAAAATTGATTTCTATTGTCAAAACTGGACTTTTGTTATAGGTAAAATTCAAGATAGCAACTAAGCAAAATAATTTTAAATACTTACTGGAAGGACTGTTTTTGTAAGTCAATATTATATTAAATAAAATAAAGAATTATTTCAGGTAACCTATTTTGATATCAAAAGGGGTATCTCAAAAACTACTATTCAATAAAACATGACAAATTCTTTTATATAACTGTGCAGGTCATTCTATATCAGTGTTGTTATCTATAACTTAGAGAAGCTATTTTATGGTAAAGATTCACATTAAATAATGAGATTGTCTTATAGGATAATAAATATATTAATATGAGTGAATGAAATTTACAAAACATCAAGACTTTTTAATGAAATTCAAAATTGTAGTAATAAAGAACTGATGCCAACCTGATGAAACTATGTCAACAGAGTAAAATTCAGTCTGACAGCAACATTAATATTAAAAATCAAAGGGAGTGAAATGGAGCTTGGAGAACAGAGATCAGAGACTGGATAGGGTGCAATAGAAAATAAAACCAAACCTTTATATTTGTGATTGGTGTGTTTATGTGTTGTACATATGTGCATATTGTTCATAAGCTGCCCAGGGTTATGGTACATAAGATGGGTAATTATATAAATTATATGCAAATATATAATATTTATATTTTACATCATTGAAATGGAAAAATGAACTATATAAATGTGAAAAATGTATTTATTGGCAATAAAATCATAGTATTTATATAGAACTAAGGTACCAAAGGGATTGTTTATCAGGAAGTAGGGACCATCCATATTCATTTTAGATGGGGTCCTGTTTTAAGACTATTGGGATCTTATTGGAAATCATTTCTCCATAATTTCCATCATGTTGATTTTGGATAGTTCAGATCATACTTCAGAGTATAATTTTATAGATATAAAAGCAATGTGCCTCTTAAAAAAGCAGTAAACACTGATTATAATAATGTTAATGTATTTTCATTGGAATTGAATTAAAATGTTGGTTAAACGTTTGACTTTATAATGCTGTAAATAAAATGGTGCGCTTCAACAATTGTTTAATATGAATGTCAATCATTTTTTAAAAATCTACTATACTATAAACACAAAGTGCATACAGCTTTTATTCTGACTTAGAATAATTGAATTGATGTCAGTGATTGCTAGAATGTCAAATCTATCCATCCTATCTTGTCACTTCCAGTTTATTTTTCTGATCATAATTCTGACGCATTGCAGTATTTTGAATTAAATGCAAATACAGCTAGTTCTTTAATTTTTATATGGGAAGCACATAAGGCCTATATTCATGTCCATATTGTTAATGATCATATGCTAAAAAAATATTGAAACCAATATAAAAAAATAAAATGGAAATTCTTTAGGCACATACAGTTAGCATTCCTATCAATGTAGAGAGATATAAGCTTAATCTGAATAATATCACACATTTCTGAATTTGCTTTAATATGTGTACACCAAAATTGGGGAAATGATGGCAGATCTGTCAAGTAATTTGAAGAAAAACAATGAAAGCTTTATTATACCTTTTGAAGATATGAAAAATAACTTATGTAATTCCTCTGAAAACGTAACATTCTAATGTCTTAAATTATACTCAAATATGTATAGTCAGTCTGTATTTCATGAAAGTAGACTTTTTGTTTTTAAAATAATCTCCCACAATTATATTTTTACAAGAATAGCCGCTTTGACTTTTAATGATATTAAAACTGTGATCCTAATTTTGAGTAATGTAAAGTACCTGGACATAACATTCCTGTTTCCTGATGAATAATACAAAGTATTTTCTGACCCAGCTGTTTCTAAATTTACATTGATTGATTATGTTCCATCAAGTTGTTTATGACTCCTGGAGGCCACATAGACTTTCTACATGATGATCTATCCCTAATCTAGAACTTCAGCAACTGCACTCACTGCCACTGTGACTAAGGCTATCCACCTAGCTTGTTATTCTCTTTTCTTTCCTTCCACCTTTCCCAACATTAGCCTTATTACTTTTTATATAATAATATTTGATAAGATGACATTTAGTTATTGTTTAGTGAACTTTGCCAAGCAAATATATTTGTTCAATTTAGGCTTATCCCCCTAAATGTAAATATCAAGATATAACATCCGTTCTAGCAAATAAGAATTCAAACAAAAGTCATTATCTTTAGTGATTAAGAATAATCAGGTTGGGTTTTTAAATATTGACATGGATCAGTCAATATTTTCTTTACAATAAAGAAAATATTTCTTTACAATAAATCAGATTGATTTGAATAATGATGGATAATATCAAGCTGTGATTATATCACTGAATGCTGGAAAAGCCTTTGGCAAAATTTATCAGCATCATATGTTCAGTATTCCAGCTAATTTAGGATTTTCTGAAGAATTCATAATTGATCTGTATTCAAATGTACCTTCTTCATCCAAAGTGAAACTCAGTCATTTTTAATGCATTTTTTCATTGATAAAGGCACTAGACAAGGATGCACATTTCCCCCTTTTATGTTAAATAGGTGTTTGAAATCATTAGCATGTTGTATTAACAAGATTACAATGTTTAATGTTTATAGCATAACTTTTTAGAATGTGAGCTAGAGTTAATATGCTGATGATATTATTTATGTCTGTATTTCATGTCTCCTTTCCAGTTTGATATAGTTGATTTTTTAAAAAAATAGCAAGATTCTAAACTGCTCCAATAAACAGTCAACGGAAGTATCCCAAGTCAGAATTGCCAATGAGTAAAATTATCTTCAAGCTTTTCAATCAATCAATCACAATAGACCTGGAAGGAACCTTGGAGGTCTTGTAGTCTAACTCTCTGCTCAAGCAGGAGACCCTATACTATTTCAGTCAAGTGACTGTCCAGTCTCTTCTTAAAAACCTCCAGTGATGAAGCACCTACAACTTCTGAAGGCAAGTTGTTCCACTTGCTGATTGTTCTCACTATTAGGAAGCGTCTTAATTCCAGGTTGCTTATCTCCTTGATTAATTTCCATCAATTGTTTCTTGTCTTGCCTTCTGGTGCTTTGGAAAAGAAATTGACCCCCTCTTCTTTGTGGCAGCCCCTCAAATACTGCCATACTGCTATCATGTTCCCCCTAGTCCTTCTCTCTAGACTAGCCAAACCCAACCATTCTTCATATGTTTTAGTCTCCATGCCTTTAATCATCTTAGTTGCTCTTCTTTGCACTTTTTCCAAAGTCTCAACATCTTTTTTGTCATTTTTTTATCAGTTTTGTATTTCTAATTGACATTTAACTATCTTGGGGTCTTTATCTTTTATGATATTTCACGGATAATCTAAATATCAATAAAATATAAAATAGATCCCTTTGGCAAACATTACCCCTTGGAGCTTGGTTAATGACTCATCAAACAGCACTCAGCTATTAAAAAAGAAATATCTGCTTGACCAAATCTTTGAGGCAAATGGCTTGTTCTACCTGCTATGGTTGAAAGGAAATTACAGATTATTTTCAGGATACTTCCCTTCAGTCTTGCAGACAAGCAAAACTTGTCTCCCAAAACAAAACAAAAAAGAATATTACCCATATCAATAAGGAAACTTCAATCCCAAAAGAGATCACTCTGGCGGAAAAACAAATCTGGTCACGTTGCCAATTTCAAAAACCGATACAAAAACTTATGCCACCAGATAAAGACCGAATGCACCAATTATCACATTAAACAAGAAGAAAACCTTCTAAGCACCAATTCCACCCGTGCTTTTTACAATTTTGTAAACAACAAACTAAAAGACTCAAGGTCCATCCCTCCCTTGATAGGACCTGATGGTAAAGACTGCAACGATGACACCATTAAAGCCAACATCTTTAACACATTCTTCGGCTCAGTATTTGTAAACAGCAATGGATCTTGCCCAGTATTTCCTAACCGTACCACAGATAACAACAATGACCTAATACATATCGATTTCACAGAAGACAATGTTGAAAAATCACTACGCAATCTAAAACCATCCCTATCTATTGGACCGGATGGAATATGTGCCTACTTCTTAAGAAAGCTATCCACTGCCATAGCCAAACCTCTAAGCATAATCTTTGAAAAATCTTTCAGGACCAGCTCCTTGCCTAACCTATGGTCACAAGCCACAGTCATCCCCATCTTCAAAAAGGGAGACCCAAGCCTAGTTGAAAATTACAGACCAATCTCCTTATGCTGCGTCACCTGCAAAGTCATGGAATCAATTATTAACCAATCCATCATCCTCCACTTAGAGACAAACAACCTACTCTCCAATAAACAATTTGGTTTCAGAAAAAAACTATCCTGTAATCTGCAACTCTTACACTGCAAAAACATATGGACGACACAACTCGACCAGGGCAAAGCAATAGACGCAATCTACATAGACTTCTGTAAAGCCTTTGATTCAGTGGTACACGACAAACTACTCCTAAAAATAAAATCCTATGGTATATCTGGACAACTGAATAACTGGATAGAAGCATTCCTATCAAACAGACAACAAATGGTCAAAATCGGGAGAGTCCTATCAAATCCAGTACCTGTCAATAGTGGTGTCCCTCAGGGCAGTGTTCTAGGACCAACTCTCTTCATACTCTACATAAACGACCTCTGTGATCATATTAAGAGCAATTGCGTTCTCTTCGCTGATGATGTAAAGCTGTTCAATACTACAGACAATACTACTACCCTACAAAAAGATCTTGACTATGTATCCGAATGGTCAAACAAATGGCAACTTCAAATCTCAACAAATAAATGCTCTGTCTTACATATTGGCAAAAAAAATCAGAAAATAAAATACAAGCTGAATAGTCAAGACCTTGTTGATGA